GGGGGCTGCAGGGCCCCCCCGGAGCGGGGAATGGGGGCGAGGGAGGAGGGCTGGGGGAAAGGAGGGAACTGGGAGAAAGGGAGGGAATTGGGAGAAAGGGAGGGAATTGGAGAAAGGGAGGAAATTGGAGAAAGGGAGGAAATTGGAGAAAAACAGGAAAGTTGGAGAAAGGAGGGAAATTGGAGAAAAACAGGGAAATTGGAGAAAAGGCGAAATAGGAGAATGGGGGGAAATGGGAGAAAAGGGAGGAAATTGGAGAAAAACAGGGAAATGGGAGAAAAGGGGGAAATGGGAGAAAAGGCAGGAAATTGGAGAAAAACAGGGAAGTGGGAGAATGGGAAGAAATTGGAGAAAAACAGGGAAGTTGGAGAAAGTAGGGAAATGGGAGAAAAGGGAGGGAATTGGGAGAAAGGGAGGAAATTGGAGAAATGGAGGAAATTGGAGAAAAACTGGGAAACTGGAGAAAGGAAGGAAATGGGAGAAAAGGGGGAAAATGGGGGAAAGGGAGGAAAATGGGAGAAAAGTAGGGAAATGGGAGGAAATGGAGGGAAATGGAGAAAAATAGGGAAAATAGAGAAAGGGAGGGAAATGGGAGAAAGGAAGGAAATTGGAGAAATGGAGGAAATTGGAGAAAAACAGGGAAGTGGGAGAAAGGAGGGAAATTGGAGAAAAATAGGGAAATTGGAGAAAGGAGGGAAATGGGAGAAAAGGGAGGGAATTGGGAGAAGGGGAGGAAATTAGAGAAAAGGGGGGGAAATGGGAGAAAAGGAGGGAAATGGGAGGAAACCAGGGAAATTAGGAAAAAATAGGGAAACTGGAGAAAAGGGGAAATGGGAGAAAAGAAGGAAAATTGGAGAAAATGAGAAGTAGAGAAAGGGAGGAAAATGGGAGAAAAGGAGGGAAATTGGAGGAAATGGAGGAACTTGGAGAAAAATAGGAAAGTTGGAGGAAAGGGGGAAATAGGAGAAAAGGGGGAAAAGGAGGGAAGGCGAGAAAAGGAAAGTTGAAGAAAAGGACAAATGGAGGAAAAGGGAAAATGGAGGAAAGGAGGAAAATTGGAGCAGAGGGGAAATCAGTGAAAAGGAGGGAAAATGGAGAAAAGGAGGAGAACTGGAGAATGAGAGGAAAATGGGAGAAAGGGAGGGAAATTGAGGGAAAGAAGGAAAATTAGAGGAAAAGAGGGAACTGGGAAAAAGGGAGGAAAATCTGAGAAAGGGGCGAAAATGGGAGAAAAGGAGGAGGATTGGGAAAAAAGGGAAATTAGGGAAAGGGAGGAAAATGGGAGAAGAGGAGGGAAACGGGAGAAGAGAGAGGAAATGGGAGAAGAGAGAGGAAATGAGAGAAAGGGAGGAAAATGGGAGAAGAGGAAGGAAATGGGAGAAAGGGGGGAAAATAGGAGAAAATGAGGAGGATTGGGGAAAAAAAGGAAATTAGGGAAAGGGAGGAAAATGGGAGAAGAGGAGGGAAATGGGAGAAGAAGAGGGAAATGCGAGAAGAGGAGGGAAATGGGAGAAAAGGAAAGAAATGGGAGAAAAGGAAGGAAATGGGAGAAAGGGAGGAAAATGGGAGAAGAGGAAGGAAATGGGAGAAAGGAGGAAAATAGGAGAAAATGAGGAGGATTGGGGGAAAAAAGGAAATTAGGGAAAGGGAGGGAAATGGGAGAAGAGGAAGGAAATGGGAGAAGAGAGAGGAAATGGGAGAAGAGAGAGGAAATGAGAGAAAGGGAGGAAAATGGGAGAAGAGGAAGGAAATGGGAGAAAGGAGGAAAATAGGAGAAAATGAGGAGGATTGGGGGAAAAAAGGAAATTAGGGAAAGGGAGGGAAATGGGAGAAGAGGAAGGAAATGGGAGAAGAGAGAGGAAATGGGAGAAGAGAGAGGAAATGAGAGAAAGGGAGGAAAATGGGAGAAGAGGAAGGAAATGGGAGAAAGGAGGAAAATAGGAGAAAATGAGGAGGATTGGGGGAAAAAAGGAAATTAGGGAAAGGGAGGGAAATGGGAGAAGAGGAAGGAAATGGGAGAAGAGAGAGGAAATGGGAGAAGAGAGAGGAAATGAGAGAAAGGGAGGAAAATGGGAGAAGAGGAAGGAAATGGGAGAAAGGGGGGAAAATAGGAGAAAATGAGGAGGATTGGGGGAAAAAAGGAAATTAGGGAAAGGGAGGGAAATGGGAGAAGAGGAAGGAAATGGGAGAAGAGAGAGGAAATGGGAGAAGAGAGAGGAAATGAGAGAAAGGGAGGAAAATGGGAGAAGAGGAAGGAAATGGGAGAAAGGAGGAAAATAGGAGAAAATGAGGAGGATTGGGGGAAAAAAGGAAATTAGGGAAAGGGAGGGAAATGGGAGAAGAGGAAGGAAATGGGAGAAGAGAGAGGAAATGGGAGAAGAGAGAGGAAATGAGAGAAAGGGAGGAAAATGGGAGAAGAGGAAGGAAATGGGAGAAAGGAGGAAAATAGGAGAAAATGAGGAGGATTGGGGGAAAAAAGGAAATTAGGGAAAGGGAGGGAAATGGGAGAAGAGGAAGGAAATGGGAGAAGAGAGAGGAAATGGGAGAAGAGAGAGGAAATGAGAGAAAGGGAGGAAAATGGGAGAAGAGGAAGGAAATGGGAGAAAGGAGGAAAATAGGAGAAAATGAGGAGGATTGGGGGAAAAAAGGAAATTAGGGAAAGGGAGGGAAATGGGAGAAGAGGAAGGAAATGGGAGAAGAGAGAGGAAATGGGAGAAGAGAGAGGAAATGAGAGAAAGGGAGGAAAATGGGAGAAGAGGAAGGAAATGGGAGAAAGGAGGAAAATAGGAGAAAATGAGGAGGATTGGGGGAAAAAAGGAAATTAGGGAAAGGGAGGGAAATGGGAGAAGAGGAAGGAAATGGGAGAAGAGAGAGGAAATGGGAGAAGAGAGAGGAAATGAGAGAAAGGGAGGAAAATGGGAGAAGAGGAAGGAAATGGGAGAAAGGAGGAAAATAGGAGAAAATGAGGAGGATTGGGGGAAAAAAGGAAATTAGGGAAAGGGAGGGAAATGGGAGAAGAGGAAGGAAATGGGAGAAGAGAGAGGAAATGGGAGAAGAGAGAGGAAATGAGAGAAAGGGAGGAAAATGGGAGAAGAGGAAGGAAATGGGAGAAAGGAGGAAAATAGGAGAAAATGAGGAGGATTGGGGGAAAAAAGGAAATTAGGGAAAGGGAGGGAAATGGGAGAAGAGGAAGGAAATGGGAGAAGAGAGAGGAAATGGGAGAAGAGAGAGGAAATGAGAGAAAGGGAGGAAAATGGGAGAAGAGGAAGGAAATGGGAGAAAGGAGGAAAATAGGAGAAAATGAGGAGGATTGGGGGAAAAAAGGAAATTAGGGAAAGGGAGGGAAATGGGAGAAGAGGAAGGAAATGGGAGAAGAGAGAGGAAATGGGAGAAGAGAGAGGAAATGAGAGAAAGGGAGGAAAATGGGAGAAGAGGAAGGAAATGGGAGAAAGGAGGAAAATAGGAGAAAATGAGGAGGATTGGGGGAAAAAAGGAAATTAGGGAAAGGGAGGGAAATGGGAGAAGAGGAAGGAAATGGGAGAAGAGAGAGGAAATGGGAGAAGAGAGAGGAAATGAGAGAAAGGGAGGAAAATGGGAGAAGAGGAAGGAAATGGGAGAAAGGAGGAAAATAGGAGAAAATGAGGAGGATTGGGGGAAAAAAGGAAATTAGGGAAAGGGAGGGAAATGGGAGAAGAGGAAGGAAATGGGAGAAGAGAGAGGAAATGGGAGAAGAGAGAGGAAATGAGAGAAAGGGAGGAAAATGGGAGAAGAGGAAGGAAATGGGAGAAAGGAGGAAAATAGGAGAAAATGAGGAGGATTGGGGGAAAAAAGGAAATTAGGGAAAGGGAGGGAAATGGGAGAAGAGGAAGGAAATGGGAGAAGAGAGAGGAAATGGGAGAAGAGAGAGGAAATGAGAGAAAGGGAGGAAAATGGGAGAAGAGGAAGGAAATGGGAGAAAGGAGGAAAATAGGAGAAAATGAGGAGGATTGGGGGAAAAAAGGAAATTAGGGAAAGGGAGGGAAATGGGAGAAGAGGAAGGAAATGGGAGAAGAGAGAGGAAATGGGAGAAGAGAGAGGAAATGAGAGAAAGGGAGGAAAATGGGAGAAGAGGAAGGAAATGGGAGAAAGGGGGGAAAATAGGAGAAAATGAGGAGGATTGGGGAAAAAAAGGAAATTAGGGAAAGGGAGGAAAATGGGAGAAGAGGAGGGAAATGGGAGAAGAAGAGGGAAATGCGAGAAGAGGAGGGAAATGGGAGAAAAGGAAAGAAATGGGAGAAAAGGAAGGAAATGGGAGAAAGGGAGGAAAATGGGAGAAGAGGAAGGAAATGGGAGAAAGGAGGAAAATAGGAGAAAATGAGGAGGATTGGGGGAAAAAAGGAAATTAGGGAAAGGGAGGGAAATGGGAGAAGAGGAAGGAAATGGGAGAAGAGGGAGGAAATGGGAGAAAAGGAAGGAAATGGGAGAAAGGGAGGAAAATGGGAGAAAAGGAGGAGGGTTGGGGGAAAAAAGGAAATTAGGGAAAGGGAGGGAAATGGGAGAAGAGGAAGGAAATGGGAGAAGAG